CTTAGATGTGTGGGTGTAATGGATAATGGCTCAGAATTGATAATCAGAGATCTGAGTTCCAATTCCTGTTGGGTTTGTTATATTCATTTATGTGCAAATAACCTTGGGAAAGGTATGAATCTATCTCTTCTCTCCCCAGCCATGGGCTAAGTAGTAAGACTTGTATCACTAAATCATGATTATTTAAAAAAAAAAAAAAATTCTTACAATCTAAAAATATTTTCTGGCTTTAAATAACCTGCAAAAGTTGATAAGCTGTAGAAAACAAATCAGTCAATCAATCTACTAGTTTAGTTATGTTGAAATGACTTTTTTTCCATGTGTTAGACTTCTATGTGCTGTTTTCCTTCAGAACACGGACGATGCTGGCTCTTCACAACTTCCTATCCTTTGTAGCTTTTCGTAATACTTATCTTTTTACCATCCTTCCCACTCATTTTGCCATCCATTCATATAAACTCATCAGGTAGGGGGCCCACAGCCTCTCTTTTGCCTTCAATATGTCCTGTGAGTGTCAAATTTTATAAACCTTTCTTCCTCATCATGTGTCCCAGAAGTTTCAGTTGTTCCTTTCTGATTCTAAGTATAAGTATCCTTTTTATTTCCATTTTCTTTCAAATTTGTTGTTTACATGTTCTGTCCATGGTATTCTTAGAACCCTTCTGCTCCAGAATTTAAGTCTACCATTCATCCATGCTTATAATATTGCTGCTGCATATTGTCCGGTGCTCCTGCTTTATATCTACAGGTCCTTGATAAAATCTGAAGAAGAATCAGCAATATTATTGGTTCTGACCTGGCGTCTTGGCTTCAGGCACTTTCCTACTGCTGTAAAATTGCTTCCCTGTGCCTTTTCTAAAAATATTTTCATTGCAACTGTTCAGATGAGCTCTTTGTTATGGTATCTAGACTTTATGAATTTAAATGCACTACTAGACTGGCGACAAGTTCTCACCAATTTACTAATGTTGGTTAGATGTAACTGTAAGTTCTATGCTAACAGTTTCTTTTCTCATATTTCTCGCTTGTAGAACTCTCTTCTGGATTCATGCTTTCCAGCCAACTTTAATCTTCAAAAATTTAAATGCAATATCAATTGCTATCTATTGCCCTACTGATTGGTCTTCTTTTGTTCTCACTCCTTAGTAATATTTCTGCTTTCTAATTCTCTCACACCAAGTAATCCTTTGTGTCTTAGTGGATTTTACTGCCCTGATTGTGGTGAACTCAATTAAAAAAAAAAAACATTTCTATTGCCTCAAGTCTTCTCTCCGTTTTTGAGGAAACACAGGTATAAAAAAATTAAGCAATTTGTGTACTAATTCTTGTGCAAAAATTAAGCAGTTTGAGTACTGGTTGCTTATGAAAATATTGTATATTATTACTTATAAAGGATGCTTGCTGGCAAGAATGAACACAATTGACCAGACAGAAGGCACTGCCGTCAGTAAAGGAAACAGCCCAAATTTTTCAAATCTGACTAAGGCTTAAGCAATTCCAAGGCTGAAAAAATAAAATATAAAAGTAATCAAAAATATATTATTTTATAGAGTATTCAAGAATTCTATCAATTCTACTAGTTTAGCTACATTGAATTGTCTTTTCTAGTTATTAGACCCAAGCATAAAACATTCAAGCAACTTGCTTACTAATTCTTAAGCAGTCTAAGTACTAGTTAAAATCCTAAGTTGCTTATGAAAATATTGTGTATTATCACTTATTATGAATACTTGATGGAAAGAATCAACACAATCGACCATCTTTGGATTGTTTGTAAATATAGCAACATCCAAAGCATTCAGTAGGGCGAAGAAGTGAATCTCTTTTCACTCCTGAAAACTTCCCTTGAGGATACAGTGTAGATATGTCAGTTCTCAACTTGTAATTCTAAAGAATGCCAAAGTCAGTATGTGTGGAGGAAAAAGAAGAATAAAAAAAAAGAAAAGAAAAAAGAAAGAAAATTAAAGAAATTACTGGAGGAGTAAAAAAACGTGAAAGATAAGCAGGCAAGTTAAATAAGGATGTCCACGGCATGATTCACTAAAATCTCAACAAGGATGTTGAAAAGCTGAGTGGTCATAATATTGATGCCAGATGTATGATGTTTGTAGCTTTTTATCTTGCAAAGTATTTCAGACTATTATCTTCATCTTTCTTGTTTTGATTGTAGTATTTTAGCCAGTATATTTTCCAGCCTTTTTTGTGTATATATAGGGCCAGATTTAGATTTTAAGAGGTCTCTGGGCTAACAGAATTTGTGGGTCCCTTTCATTATATATGTTCTACCCTCCCTGTCTATATAAAAAAAAAAATATATATATATTTTTAGATGACACTTTTTGGTATAAAACATGAAACATTTAAACTAAAATTTTTATTGATTTTGGAACTCATCCAATAGCAACTTCATATTTTTTATCTGAATAGATCTGACAGAAATGTATCTAAAATAAGGGGCCTGTATGAAGGGTCTTCTAAATTCCACTCCAACTGGAGGTACCCAAATACTCTAAATTGTTTCAAATTAGTTCAAAGGAGCCCCATTAAAATTTGAAAAATAAACAAACCTTGGTTCTTATATCATTATTTTATTTTAGTTTTATTTAGTTTCTTAGAGATCCCTCTAATCTTAGGGCTCCATCCCAGGAGCCCATATGTAAATCTGGTACTGGGTGTATGTCATACTTGTTTGAATAGAGTCCTTTGGCAATAATATTTTCATCACGGCTCAAATTCATCAGAGTGACAAAGATTCAATAATAATAATAATAATATAATAATAATAATTGATAATATATATTATAATTGATAATTTTTTAATATGTTTTGTAAAAATTAAATCAATAAAAAATTGGTTAATCTTTACATCACTTTATATGACATTTTAAAGTTTTTGACAGCACTTTAGATTTTCAATTTTGTAAAAACCAAATCTCAAGTGAAGTCATTGAGATTAGTTATATATACAAGGGTGGGCAGGAAAAATTTAAAGGCTGACTATGAAGGAGTGATTCTTGAAGTGTGAAATCTTGCATGTATTAATTTCAACTCTTTATTAATAACTGCATTGTTTTTTTCCAGGTAAACTGACTGTTCAAAGAAGACTTCAAAATAACTTGTAGCTACTTCTCTTGAAAATGGACAAAATTTAGCATCATAGTACTATCAAGTAGCTGAAGACAAAGGGTTTAGCCCCCAAGGACATTCATGCTGACAAGGTTTATTAGGGGAGGACACTGCAGTTTTATCAACAGCACAAAACTAGGCAGCTGAATTTAGGAGGAGAAGGAGTTTTGAAGATGATCCAAGTTTTGGACACACTGCAACTGTCACCACTGCTGAAAACATTGATTGTGTTCATAACATGGTGATTGATGACAGATGATGGACTATAAATCGAATAGCTAATGCTATTAACATATTCTGTGAGAAAGTTGAGAATATTTTGCACAATGAACTTGATATGACAAAAGTTTTTGCTTGGTGGGTGCCATGTCTTCTGATGTCTGATCAAAAATGCACCAGGCTGAGCACATCACAAGAAAATCTGACATTGTTTAATGTAGATCCAGCTGGTTTCTGTGAACATTTAATAACCCAGGATGAGTGTTGGGTTCATTATTTTCAGTCGGAGAACAAGAGACATCTCTCCTCACCTACTCCAAAGAAGATATTGGTCATTTCATCTGCAAGGAAGGAGATGACCTCAGTTTTTTTGGATGCCAAAGACATTATGTTTATTGACTCTCTTCAAAAGAGCCACACCATCAATGGAGAGTACTATGCTAACTTGCTGAGACAGTTATAAAAGGCTATCAAGATCAAACACATCATAAAATTGATGAAAGGGGTCTTGTTTCATCAGGACAATGCTCCAGCATATATATGCTTGGTTTCAATGGCTGCTGTGTGTGACTGTGTCTTTGAACTGGTTGATCACCCTCCCTATTCTCCTGATTTGACTATCATATCACAGTGATGATGACATCATATCCACTGCTGATGACCTTTTGACCAACAGAATGAACAGTCTTCTTTGGACAGTTAGATGTCAGTTTACCTGAAACGAAACAATGCAGTTTTTAATAAGAGTTGAAATTAATGCATGCAAGATTTCACAGCTCTAGCATTGCACCTTCAGTCAACTTATGAACTTTTCAGCCCAGTGCAACCCAATTTTGTTAATAAAGTTTTGTCTTAATTCTTGACCAATGGTGATCAATTTCTTCTTATGGTTGAAGTTTGCTAAAACAAATTTTAGGTCATAAATTGAAAATTCAGTGTTCAGTCAATATTTTCTCTACTACCAGAAATATATGCTTTATTAATGTAAAAAATGACCAAAGGTAAGTGAATGAGTAGTAAAATAAGTAAGCATCAATAAGAAAATATTTTACCCTGCTTATCTTCTTTTGTACCATGTCTTTTTATGGCATAAGCAAACATGGCTTAACACAACTTCCTGCCTTTTGTTATTCTAAGTAACTTTTCACACTTTTACCATCCCTCTTGTTATCCAATCTCTCAAACTGATTAAATAGTTTATTTGCTCTTTCTTCCTGTTTCTCTTGCCTAAAATATGTCTTGTAAGTGTTAAATTCTCCAGATCCTCTTTCATTATGTATCACAAAATTAGTTATTGTCTCTTTCTGATTGTATAAGTTTCCTTATTTTCCTTAAGACTTCCTTTTGCTCAAATGTTCTAGGTTATTCTTAATATTTTGGGGCTGAACTTATCTCTGTTGCTTTACTACAGATTAGATATTACATAGCAGTTGAGTACTCTTTACTTAGTTGCTAATATTTTCCTGTCTTAATACTTAGTTTCTGAAAGACATTTTTGTTATTCCTATACACCTTCAGATTTCTGTATCGCATTTTCTATCTGATGACCATGTATTCTGTCTTCTTACATTTAATAGTCCTTTCTTTTTGCTTTACTAACTTGTCTAAGAGTTATTTTAGATTCCTTTCTGAGTCAACCATCAACATAGTGTCAT